CCATCATCCAACCATCATCCAACCATCATCCAACTATCCAACCATCATCCAACATCCAACCATCATCCAACATCCAACCATCTTCCAACCATCCATCCAACATCCAACCATCATCCAACTATCCAACCATCATCCAACATCCAACCATCATCCAACAATCCAACATGCCAAATAAAAATCAAAGATGGCTGCCATACCTAAAATGCACAACTGACCATAACTCAACCATTTCAGACATGTTTGTTTCAGAGTTGGGATGGTAGAYCACAGTGATCTGCATCAAACAGTAAAATCAGCTGGACGACACGAGGCAAACCCTGTCATGTTTCTGCAGGAACTGWTTTATTATTTGAACCCACAGAGGTTCAGTCCTGTCAGAGAACCTGAGTTTATCTCTTAGATTTAGTAAAACTTTCTTAAAACCATGAAGAACCATCTTCATCACCAGCACCATCATATGTGGGTCCAGAAGCAGAAAACTCACTGCCTGGAGGCTGGTCGTCCTGGTCATCAGGGAAGAGATCATCCAGGGTTTCTTTACTGGACTCACTGTCCTTGTCCTCCTGCAGGACGAGGACAAACGTTTAAACAAAACGTCACAAAGTCGACTGCTGACGTGTCTCACTGTGAGGGGACACAGAGGACTCACCGAGGGGGACAGGTCCTCGTCGTACTTCTTCAGCTGGTTCATGAACTCCAGGTGCTTCTTCTCCTCCTCCAGCTGGGCCACGCTCTGCTCGCTCTTCTGCAGCTTCTGCTGCGTCCCGGCCAGCTCGTCCCTCAGCCACTGGTTCTCCTGGCAGAGCCGGCGGACCTGGGCCCGCAGCTTCTGCTTCTCGGACTCCACCGAGCTCAGGTGGCTGGACAGCGCCATCATCACCTGGACAGAGACGTTTCAGACAGGAAGTCATTCCTCCGCCCGCCGTCTGACACCAAGTCTGGCTTTAAACTCCCTCCTTTATTTACAACAATAATAAAAACCCTTCAGAATAAAACCTTTGAGTTCCAACAGTTTCCAAAATAAAAGCATGGTGTTGATTTTTCTTCTGCTTGATTTATTATTTATCTCCTTTAGAAGCTCTGATGTTACAGTGAAGCATTGTGGGTAAAACAAATGTCCTCATCAGATTCTGAGGCCGTGTGTGTGTGTGTGTGTGTGTATGTGTGTGTGTGTGTGTGTGTGT